TGGTTAAAACAGCTGCCGTCAGGTGTTGACTGTCTTCCCCCTGACCGACTCCAATCATCCTAAAATCTGGAACATGGAAAAAGTCCCCTTTGAGTTGGGCATGGCACCTGGTGGCCACATGGACATGCCTGTAGTCTTCAGGGGGACGGATCATTTGGAAGTAGTTTGCCCTTGCCTTCTTCCTAAGGTTTTTGTTTTGATTTGATTTCGCAGTCCGCTTGAGTTCTCGGTGGTCTCCCAGCCACTTACTAATCAGGTCCAGCTTTTGAAGGTCACCGAAGTCAGCTAGATGTCCAGGAAAGTAGGTGTGTAAAAACACAGGCATGAAAAGCAGAGGGAAGACCATGCCAGCCGCGGGGTACAGAGAGAGTGATACGCAGCAGGAGGATATCCAAGTGTGAACATAGAGTGGGATAAAAAGACCGAGGTGACAAATCAATTTTCGGTTGTAGAGCAAAGGACACAGTTCCATGGCAACATGGCTGGGCGAAGAAGAAGAGGAGGGCATGGCAGCGAGGAAGAATGCAAGAGTTCAGGGTGGATGCAAAGAGCAGTTGAAAAGCACAAAAGGGTGGCCACTGGCGGCAGGCAAACGGTGTGAGAGTAATAAGTAGCATCGTCCTCAAGAACTGGCTTCAAATTCCTCAGTGGCCGCCGTCGGTCAGCCTCAAATCCTCCAAAGAATTATTGGCGAATAAAAGGAGTGCAGTGGGGAAACTTTGGGTTTTGAAACTCTTTTTCCCATATTATTATTATTATTATTATTATTATTATTATTATTATTATTATTATTATTATTATTATTATTATTATTATTATTATTTCCATGCCCTTCATCAACTACTGCAGCTCAGGAGATGGTGCTAATTTGCTAATTTATCTTTTCAGAATCTGTCGCCTTTTCTTCTTTGCAGCTGCTTAGTAAGTTGTTGGCTACTTTACGTCTGACTCTCTCTCCTTCCCTCCCTCTCTTTCTCTCTCCCTCTCTCTTTCTCTCTCTCCCTCTCCTTCCCTCTCTCTTTCTCTCTCCCTCTCTCTTTCTCTCTCTCTCTCCCTCTCTTTCTCTCTTTCCCTCCTTCTCTTTCTCTCTCTCTCTCTCCCTCTCTCTTTCTCCCTCTCTCTTTCTCTCTCTCTCTCTCTCTCCCTTTCTTTCTCTCTTTCTCTCTCCTTCCCTCCCTCTCTTTCTATCTCTCTTCCTCTTGCTCTCTCTCCCTCTTTTTTTCTCTCTCTCCCTCTCTCTCTCTCCCTCCCTCTCTCTCTCTCCCTCTCTCTCTTTCTCTCTCTCTCCCTCTTTTTCTCTCTCTCTCTTTCTCTCTCCCTCCCTCCCTTTCTCTCTCTCTCTCTTTCTCTCTCCCTCCCTCCCTCTCCTGACAGAGGCTTTCTAGTATATCACTCGGAGAAACATTGAGTTCAGCTGGTAGGAAAGGGTCTAAATTCACTTAGTCTCCTTGTTGTCCCCATGTAGGCTTCCCATCACCAAACCCCCCCCCCCAAAAAAAGAAAGCCCAAAATATAAGGATTTCCTCCAAAGTGAGCCTGTGAACATTCAAACACCTCCCCTGACATTAGGACTTGGAAAGGTGTGAAGGCTTAGTCTGGATTGGGTCCCAAACTTTGCTTTGAAGCTCTAGCTTGGAAATCCCGCTTTTTAAGCCAGGATTAATGGGTGGCCTTGGCAGCCTTTTGCATGGTGATGACCCACAGCCCTGGCTTGGCACAGGATCTTTTGAATCGAGCTCTTTCCCCTAGAATAAGTAGGTATATTTCCTCCTGAGATGCTGTCCCACCCAGTGGAGGAAGAGCCAATGCCACAGTCCACATTCTTTGCCCTTACCCCTCCCTTGCAGCCTGGCAGATGGACCAGGCAGATGTGTCAATATATAGATGAGGCCGGTTGTGTGAGCATAATCAGTCTCCAAAAATAAACAGTCCTAGACTGGCCCAAAGTCCAGTCTCTGCTTCAGTTCTTTATCTGTGAAATTGGAACTGGTCTGTTCTTGCAGTCCCGGGAAGGGGAATTTGGGATTCCAAGGGAATTCAGAACCAAAGGTTAGGTTTTCTGAGAGGGAGGAAAATTAATTCTTGGTGGCTGGACCTTAGTCTTGGCCAGTGTTTCTCAACCTCATCATTCCCTTCCCTTCCTTCCCCTTCCCTTCCCTTCCCTTCCCTTCCCTTCCCTTCCCTTCCCTTCCCTTCCCTTCCCTTTCCCACCTTGCCCTGCCTTGCCCTTAATGGAAGACCAAGTCAACTTGCCAAGCTCCTCTTTGTCTGAGATATCACTTGATTGGGGACTTTCAGATGTGTTTGTCAAATGAAAATGAAAATCCTTTCGCCTGCAATCACCCGCCACATATCTCGATGGCTCACCTATTTCTTGCAGTCACTGCGTCTCGTTGAGATTGTTGCGATAAGTAAGAAATGACGCTTTACGATGGGAAATAGAAGAGGCAAGGATGGGGAAGTTGACATCCTGGGAATGCTTGGAAGCACGGCCTTGACATCCGAGCGATGGTGGCATGGCATTCAAGATAAGGAGTAGTGGATTCTTGGCTTGCAAAGGACTTGTGCAGATATAATGGCTCCAGAGCAGGGTGTAGCACTGTGTGGATGAAATCTGGGAGAGTGAAAGGTTGAAGTAGGGAGATGCCCCCAACTGCTTGGCAAGCAGTAGCCGAGGTAGCAGTTTAATTCACGGTTGTTTCTGCTACCCTGCCCTTCTTCAAGTTGCTGTATGAGAAGGGTTGGATATCTGTACCCCTCGCAAAGTTGTTGTTGTTTTGGTTGTTGTTTCATCCTTGTGCTTAAGACTAGCTCCCATTCCTAGGCAGTGGTGAAATCCAAATTTTTTACTACCGGTTCTGTGGGTGTAGCTTGGTGGGCGTGGCTTGGTGGGCGTGGCTTGGTGGCGTGGCAGGGGAAGGATATTGCAAACTCTCCATTGCCACCCCACTCCAGGGGAAGGGCCTGGTGGCTCAGCAGACTGATAGCATTGTGATTAACACCAGCTGTCTGCAATTACTGTAAGTTCGAATCTCACCAGGCTCAAGGTTGACTCAGCCTTCCATCCTTTCTAAGGTAGGTAAAATGAGGACCCAGTTTGTGGGGGCAATAAGCTGACTTTGTATAAATATACAAAAGTATGAAGGCTATTGCTTAATGCATTGTAAGCCGCCCTGAGTCTCCGGAGAAGGGTGGCATATAAATCAAATTAAAAAAAAAAAAGGACACTGCAAAATCTCCATTCCCACCCCAATCCAGGGGAAGGATACTGCAAAATCTCCATTCCCACCCCAATCCAGGGGAAGGATACTGCAAAATCCCCATTCCCTCCCCTTTTGAGGCCAGACAGAGGTGGTATTTGCCGGTTTTCTGAACTGCTCGAAATTTCCGCTACCGGTTCTCCAGAACCTGTGGATTTCACCCCTGTTCCTAGGGCTTTCCAGGTTCTATTTCTGCTTTGCTTTATTGGCTGCATCGTTCACCTGAATGCACATAGCCCGGTTAGTGAATTACCCATTTTGTGGGTTTGTTCGGTTGTACCTCAAACAGAGTGAGTTGGACTTGCGCAACGCACTAAAGCGCAGATGCACATGTGTGCCCGTTGCACTTAGAGGCCGATCATGGCAACAGCTGACTGAGCTTAGTAGGCCGTTTGTATGTAATTGCTACGCTCACCACTGACTGAGTTAAGGATGTTGAGTGGACACACGCACAGAAAAACACACACACATTGAATAGCTGTAGTATTGAAACAGACGGACGCTTTTGTATGCTTCGGTGAATAGACCCAGAAATTCTCCAATGCAGGTCGGTGAAACCCCTGTCTCTCTGGGTAAAAGTGCACAAGCCATGTGAAAACCGAGACACGGATTTTGGTGTGCAGACCATGAATACCCCTTCTCTCCCCACCCCCTTCTCTCTCTCCCTCTCTCTCACTCACACACAGACACATGCTCGCTCACACACCACACAGCTTGAGATAGTAGGATGACTGCAGCTAATAGAGTTTGGCTGATACCCCTGCAGGGCCGTGATACCATGGACAAAAAGGGAAGAGAAGAACGGGGAGGGGAAATCAGACGAGGAAGGAAAGGCCCGAGAGCGCCTGGGATCCGATGAGTGACAGCCAGGTCTGGCATCCAAACAGATGCACAGACATTTTGTCTGTTTATCGGAGCCACACAGGCCTCTGACCCACACTGTCATGCCTCTTGGGTGAGGTGTGTTGCATTCTCCAGGAGCCTGCCCCCCTCCTCCCTCGTGCACATCTGTTGTACTCCAAAGCCAAACCCTTTGTATTTTTAATGACCTTGAGCAGGAACCAGCTACCCTGAACAAAAGGCACAGGATTCCCTCACTTCTGGCGGGTGGGGGCCGCCCTCAAACTTGCTTCTAAGCCAGGAAGGCTCGGGAGGGTGGGAGGGTGGGAGGAAGGGAGGGAGGACGGTCCTTCCTTGCAAAAAACGAATGGGTGGGTCAGGTTTTCTCTTCTGCCTCTGCAAGGCGGCCGCTGTTTCTAAGTGATCGGGCCAAGCAGGGTTGAACACGCTTCATGGGACCGTCGGCCAGCCCTCTCCAGCCAGAAGGATCGTTTGGCCAGGGAGAGGTGTATTCGGGTGGCGGGAAAGGTAGAGTGTGCATGCATACCTTTTCCATCTTGTCCACAAAATGGAAGCTTGTTTAAAAAAAAACAAAAAACAACTCTGCAAGCTTGGAAGGGGAAGAAGAAGGTAGCACAAGGGAGCGTAGCTATTTGTGCCATCAGAGCTGCCTTTGCCTTGCATCACTCATGCAGGCACACAGAGAGAGAGAGAGGCACACACAGATCCCCAGACTGGACACTTCCCACCCACTGCTGCGTCCCTTTGAAATGAAATCTCTTTGAAAAGAGTTTTGTGGGGTGGGGGTGGGGAGGTTGTTTCAAACCGGTGTCATCTCTCTCCCTGCTCCTCCTGTTCCCCTTCTTCACAAGCCTGGGTCTGTGTGCTTTCCTTGAACAGATGGGATCTCCAATGCGTGCCAGCCCATTGGACTGGAAAACGGAGCCAACTCGCCAGCTGAATGGTTCCCGTGCAGCCAGGGTCCAGGGTTGCGGCCACCCAACAGCGAAGTGGACGGCAGCGAGAGGAACTTCCGGGTGAATCTTCACTGCAAGTATGGGCGGCCCAGGTACGGGGGACGGATGGAGGGGCGAGGAGGGGGCTAGGCAGGTGAACCTGACTTTTCTGCTCTGGTTGGTATAGAGCAGAGGTGGGGAACTACGGCCCTTCAGTTGTGGACTTCAACTCCCAGAATTCCCATGCCGGCTCAGCAATTCTGGGAGTTGAAGTCCATAAATCATAAAAGGGCCATCGTGTTTCCCCACCTCTGGTGTAGCGCAACGGATCGCTAAAAGTTCTAAAACCCCGTAAGATTCAAGGAGGCAAACCAAGCCAAGAGAATTGTGAACTGGGTGGAAAAGTCTCGCTCTCTGCCTCGCTCTGTACTTGCGTTAAAGGAAACATGAGAATAGATTCCAGTACAGTGATGGCAAACCTTTTTGGGACCGAGTACCCAAACAGGAACATGCATGCATGTGCATGCATGTGCGCATGCCAGAGCACCAGAAACCCAAAGATCAGCTGGCCGGCGTGTATATGCCTGTTTTTGGGCCATTTTCAGGCCATTTTCTGGCTATTTTTGAGCCATTTTCTGGCCGTTTTCAAGCTGTTTTTTGGACCATTTGGGGGCCAAAAACGGCCCAGAAACGCCTGAAAAATGGCCTGGTTTTTGGCCATTTTCAGGCCTTTTTCCGGTGCTCTGGCACCTGGAAATACCAGCTGGCCAGAAAGCAGAAGAGCAGCTGGCGACAGCACACGTGCCCACAGAGAGGGCTCTGCATGCCACCTCTGTCACGTGTGCCATAGGTTCGCCATCACAATTCTAGTCCTTCCAAGAGGCCGGAACAAAGTACCTCTTTGAAGGGTGTTTCCTTCCCCCTAATCAGCAAACCCTTTTTTCCCTCTGCCCCTAGGGAAAAAAAGTATATCAAGAACTTGCAATCTGGTCCTTTCCCTGGCATGCTAGATTTCTGCTTGCCTTTTGTTCATAGTCTACAGTGGTGCTGAACACTAAACATGTAATTTGCCATCACTGTTTTCTTTCTTCTGCCAGTAGGAAGAGATGAGGCTGAGATGGGACATTAGGATACGGTCCCCATTGCATTGTCATCTCATGTCTTGATCCCAGTTTGTCTGACCTCAGGATGTCTGATGCGTGCAAATGTAGGATCAGTTGCAGATGGTCTATCTCAACTAAAGCAGCTGCACTTAGTAGAACAGAGGTGTGTTGTTTCAATTTCCCCCAAACAAAACTTCAGATACCTGTCGTGTAAAAGGAAAATTCTGAAGATTAGAAGAGCTCAACCAAATGGTTTTCTTGACCATCATCAGACAGGATTTCCCATGGCCTTTTCAGAGATGTTTTCCTGACTTCCCAGTTTCGCCTACAGCTTTGGATTTTTTTATATATAGGTAAAGGTAAAGGTTCCCCTCGCACATATGTGCTAGTCATTCCCGACTCTAGGGGGCGGTGCTCATCTCCGTTTCAAAGCCAAAGAACCAGCGCTGTCCAAAGACGTCTCCATGGTCATGTGGCCGGCATGACTAAACGACAAAGGCACACAGAACGCTGTTACCTTCCCACCAAAGTGGTCCCTATTTTTCTACTTGCGTTTTTTACGTGCTTTCGAACTGCTAGGTTGGCAGAAGCTGGGACAACTAACGGGAGCTCACCCCGTTATGTGGCTCTAGGGATTCGAATCACTGAACTGCCAACCTTTCAATTGACAAGCTCAGTGTCTTAGCCACTGAGCCACCGCGTCCCTACTATATATAGATCTATATTATAATCTTTTTATTGGAGTCTTTAACAACAATAGTAAGAACTCGGGCAAACTAAAACAGAACAAAGGAGAAATAAAAGAGAAAGCTAAAAGTGCAACAAAAAAAAGTAGAATTTTTTTTTAAAGAAGCAACCTCTGACCTTCACAGCAGTTATAAGTACAATTATATTTTAACCTCTCTCTCTCTCTCTAAAGTTAATCGTGACTCCCTTCTTTCTATCTCCATCCCGTCTAATCATCAGAGTCATAAATCGTAAGTTCACTTCTTTTCTTTTTTAGGCTAAAACTCCATATAGGAGTTTCCAGCCACCGTTAAGTGTAGGTATTGTCCTTTCTCTAATCAAATGAGTCAATTAGTCCATCTCAAGAAAATTCCATCGTCTTCATCAACCTTCCTTCAGGGTGGGTCAGGCCCAGTCTTTTCATTTTTGTGCTACAATAATGTCACTGCAGTTAGCATATTAAAAAAAAACAGTGATTCGTGGCTCTTTAGTACAGGTAGTCCTCAGCGTACAACAGTTCGATTAGTGACCATTCAAAGTTACAATGGCACTGAAAAAAAGTGACTTATGACCGTTTTTTCACACTAACTGCCGTTGCAGCATCCGCCACAGTCGTGTGATCAAAATTCAGACGCTTAGCAAGTGACTCATATTTATGACGGTTGCAGTGTCCTGGGGTCAGGTGATCCCCTTTTGTGGCCTTCTGACAAGCAACGTCAATGGGGAAGCCGGATTCACTTAACAACCATGTTCCTAACTTAACAACTGCAGTGATTCCCTTAACAACCGTGGCAAGAATGGTCGTAAAATGAGATATAATGCACTTGACAAATATCTCGGTTAGCAACAGGAATTTTGGGCTCACTTGTGGTCCTAAGTCGAGGACCTACCTGTAATTGTTCATCCATCAGTCCCAGGAGAAAAAGTTCTGGTTTCCTTTGAATGTTCACTTTGGATTTTTCTGGTGGGTTGCTACCCAAGGATGAACCTGTTTCAACAAAAGAGCCTTGGTAGTACAGGGGTTTAAGGCACCCTGTTATTAAGCTGGTTATTAAGACCAGCTGCCTGCAATTACTGCAGGGTTCGAATCTCGCCAAGGCTCAAGGTTGACTCAGCCTTCCATCCTTTCTAAGGTAGGTGAAATGAGGACCCAGTTGTGGGGGCAATAAGCTGACTTTGTATAAATATATAAAAGGATGAAGGCTATTGCTGAGCACATTGTAAGCCGCCCTGAGTCTTCGGAGAAGGGCGGCATATAAATCAAATAAAAAAAAAAAAAAAACCTGTTTCTACTGATTTTCTGGTGGAAATCTGATGGTCCAGTCACAGTCAAAGAGCCAACCTACCTGTAACCTTGTTGCTGGTATACTTAAGATTTATATTGACTGTTTCCTTATGACTATCATTAAGTGTTGTACCTTATGATTCTTGACAAATATATCTTTTCTTTTATGTTCACGGAGAGCATATGCACCAAAGACAAATTCTTTGTGTGTCCAATCACACTTGGCCAATAAAGAATTCTATTCTATTCTATTCTATTCTATTCTATTCTATTCTATTCTATTCTATTCTATTCTATTCCATTCCATTCCATTCCATTCCATTTCATTTCATTTCATTCCATTCCATTCCATTCCATTCCATTCCATTCTATTCTATTCTATTCTTTTTATGTACACTGAGAGCATATGCACCAAGACAAATTCCTTGTGTGTCCAATCACACTTGGCCAATAAAGAATTCTATTCTATTCTGTTTTTGAGTTCTGAAAATAATCTGGATGGAGCAGATTGCTGAGCAAGTCAGTTGTTAAGTGAGCTTTGCCCTATTTTATGAACTTTCTTGCCACCTTTGTTAAAGTGAATCACTGCAGTTAAATTAATAACACATTTCCTGACTGTGGAACCGCTTGCCTCCAGAAGTTGTGGGTGCTCCATCACCGGAGGCTTTTAAGAAGAGACTGGACAGCCATTTTTCTGGATTAGGGTAGGGTCTTCTGCTAGAGCAGGGAGATGGACTAGACCCGTGATGGTGAACCTATGGCATGCGTGCCAGAGGGAGCACATAGAGCACTCTCTGTGAGCACATGTGCCATCACCAGCTGCTCTTCTGGTTTTCGGCACACACATGCATGCCAGCCAGCTGGTCTTTGCGGAAAACAGCCAAAAATGCCCCCAAAACAGACCATTTTTAGGCCATTTTTGGGGCATTTTCAGGACCTGAAAATGGCAATAAAAATGCCCAAAAAACAGCCAAAACCAGCCAAAAACCAGGCATGCGCGCACTGGCCAGCTGGTGTTTGGGTTTCCGGTGCTCTGGCGTGCGCGCATGCACAAACATGCACACACGTTCCGGTTTGGGCACTCAGTGCCGATAAGACTGGACTAGACGATCTCCAAAGTCCCTTCCAGCTTCGTTATTCTGATAGATACTTCCGGCCAACTTGGTTCCTCATCTTCTCCGAATAGTGTTATCTTACCACCAGATTTCAGCGGTGCTTTCTTGGAGGTCTACCCAGCTTAGGGGAAAAAAAGGCCTAAAGAGCACATTTTTTGCTGCATTATAGACCGGTCCGTTCTGTTTTAAGACCGTGTGTGATCCACCAGAAGCGGTTTGCTCTTTCCCGCAGCCCAGTGCAGATCCGAACAACAATGCAAAACATTTGGAGTTCGCAAAGCAGTAGGATGATCAAGTCTAGCCAAGGGGGTGGGTGGGTTTCAGTTGCTGGCTTAAATGCTACGCAAGGCATTAGATTCCTGCGCTGTGGTCCCTCTGGCTTCATTTGTGAGATTCGTCCATCTTTTCCCCTCTCTCACTGCTTTAGAAATTTGTGGAAATGAGCAAAGATTCCAAGGATTCTTGTCGGCCAGGAAAGCTGAGGTTTCTTGCTTGCCCTGTGCATTGGTAGAGCCCATGTGTGCAAACACGCAGGCACATACACACAGATACACAGGGTGCCCTGGCCTGTTTCTGGCTGCTGTCTTTTGTCTCATCTGTCAGAACTTGGAAGGGTGGGGTTTGGGGTTGAGGAAATGCACTGGAAAGACATCCTGCTTTCTCTGACTTCCCTCCCTCCCTCCTGCTCTCTTGGGTGCCCCAGATCCGTGCTCTTTGCTGCTGCTTTCCTGACCCTTCTTTGTTCACATCTGGCCAAGAGTTGCTTGGAAACATCAGTTGCAAGGACGGGGAGGGAAAAGCTGAGCGTTCTCACAGGAACGGATGGGAAGCATTGGAAAGTGCAGGAGGAAAGCCAGGTCCGCAGCAGATGCTGATCTCCTTCC